TTTTTTTTTAACATATTGTTATTTGGTTGCTAGGGTGATCTGGGGAATTTTTCACTAATTTTATGTTTATACTGTTTTTTTTTTTAATATATATTTCTCATTTTAATATATTCATATATATATTCAAATATATATTTTAGTTATATTTGAATATCATAGATTAAATAAAAGTTATTAATTTATAATATATTCATAATTTTTTTTTTATTGTTATAATGTCCCCTCCAATCGCATATTATAAAACTTTTGTTTTTTCCATTTGTTGAAGAACTGAAGGTGGTCTGCATGGTTTTTAGCATAACATTATATGGTTGCTATAGGGTGTTCTGGGGATTTTTTCACTCATTTAATGCCACATCATTTGACATATCATTCATGTATGTAGCATAAACTGTGCAAGATTTATGCCAAAGTTTAATACACCAAAGTTTATTATACTTAGGGATAGAGATGTAGAAACAATTCCTGCCTTAGAAAATCCACTAATAATATCACAACCTAACATTTAACAATCAAATCCCAGTGGATAAAATCAAGCCTTGCACTGCATTGTGTCCTAGCAAATATTCTACTTCATCTGAATTATGCCACATCACTGAAGCTGAATGCTTTGTGAATGTCATTCCACGCCATCTTGAAGAAACACTACTGGGTTGCATTTTAATAGGCCTTTAGTAACGGGAAATTCCACTGTACCATCATGACCCCATCTAGAGCTCATCTGTAGGTGAAAAAAATTGCAAATGGTGACAACTGTGGGCATGAAGATTAATTATGAAAGACATCAGCACTGATAAAAGTGTAATATAAGAGCAGTTCATCTCTGGGTCTCGGCCCTGTCACTGCCTCAAAGGGAGAAGGCAGACTGCTGCACTGACACTGGCCTGTCACATTTTAATTGCTATCACCCACTACAAGAAAATAGAGAGAAAAAAAAGCACAGATACAGTTCCTGACATTTCTGTGTAAGACAGACCCATCAACAATATAGCTGTATAGATTATTTTAGAGAATTTTGCATGCATTATATATACCATTAACACTGCACATTTCTAATGTACCAATACTAAACAAGTCATTCTCCATCTGAAAGCTTTATATAGTGTTTTTCAGCATCGGCATACGATATGCTTATGAGATGCATTCCAGCCCAGAAGATTCTCACAAATGCATACAAAGCAATTTGCAGAGGAAATCCCCTCTATTTCAGTGCTCACAATGTGTCTCGGCAAGTTGTAATTTAGTCACATTGAAAGCCGAATGTCTGTTTATGTGTAATTATTCCCGTTTCTTGTGCTGCGTTTCCTTCGGCTCCTCGGTGTGTGAATGGGAGCTTCCCTCAGGCGTGTTCAGTAGCAGAGAGCAAATCGTAGCATGTAATCCTAACTCATGTCAGAATCCCTCTTTATGACTGCAGAGCTAATAATACAAACATGTTTTCTGTCACACAAATCTGCTGGGCACGGTGAGCATGAAAAAAAGAACAGTGCCTCAACTGACTGAAACACAAGAGCATTATGGGTAAAGTCATTTTATAGTGATGAAAAAATGAAGACAATGAATGTACTGTGCTACAAACTGCAAACGAAGACCCCGTTTAATATTTCATCTCAAGCATGCTTTTTACTGATACAGTTGTCTCCTTAATACACAAGCACACTAACATGGGGGAAAAAAAACTAATGTTTATTTGTGTCAATCATTTATGCAATCATTTTAATTCATTTTTTATTTCACTTTTACCTTTATTTAATGTTTTTTTATTTTATGTAAAAAAATCATTATTTCACATAACAATTAATAATTAATAACTTTATTATTATTATTATTTTTAATATGAACAATATTAACCCCCTCTATTTCAGCGCTCACAATGTGTCTCGGCAAGTTGTAATTGAGTCACATTGAAAGCCGAATGTCTGTTTATGTGTAATTATTCCCGTTTCTTGTGCTGCGTTTCCTTCAGCTCCTCGGTGTGTGAATGGGAGCTTCCCTCAGGCGTGTTCAGTAGCAGAGAGCAAATCGTAGCATGTAATCCTAACTCATGTCAGAATCCCTCTTTATGACTGCAGAGCTAATAATACAAACATGTTTTCTGTCACACAAATCTGCTGGGCACGGTGAGCATGAAAAAAAGAACAGTGCCTCAACTGACTGAAACACAAGAGCATTATGGGTAAAGTCATTTTATAGTGATGAAAAAATGAAGACAATGAATGTACTGTGCTACAAACTGCAAACGAAGACCCCGTTTAATATTTCATCTCAAGCATGCTTTTTACTGATACAGTTGTCTCCTTAATACACAAGCACACTAACATGGGGGAAAAAAAACTAATGTTTATTTGTGTCAATCATTTATGCAATCATTTTAATTCATTTTTTATTTCACTTTTACCTTTATTTAATGTTTTTTTATTTTATGTAAAAAAATCATTATTTCACATAACAATTAATAATTAATAACTTTATTATTATTATTATTTTTAATATGAACAATATTAACAGTGATGCTTTTCTTAGCAAATAACAATAATGTCCACATTTCTAGGTTCAGAGCAAAGCATGCTGGGATGTCCCCCCCCAAATATATATATATATATATATATATATACTGTATATATAATCATTCATTGATGCAATCATTTTAAGTACAATTATTTCATGTAATAATTTTAAGATAATTTTATATGAATTAAAATGAATTCATTTTTAGTACTATTTAATTTTTTATTTTATGTAATAACTTTTTTTTCTAGGTTTAGAGCAAGGCATGTTGGGATGTCCCTCATGTCAATCATCTGGTATAATTTAATCATATTGTATATATATTAACATTTTATATAATTTAATAATCAGCAATTTATGCAATAATTTTCATTAATTTCAAGTACAACGTATTTCTATTTTATGTAATAATTTTTTTAATATTCTTAATTTTATGTAATAATTAATAATTGTATAATGATTTTGTTTGATCACTAACCTGAAGTATGAACAATATCAACAGTGACACTTTTCTTAGCACTAGCACTAATAATGTCCACAACAAATCTATGTTCAGTGCAAAGCATGCTGGGATGTCGATCATGTCACTCACCTGAGGTAAAGTCCCACCCCCACGTCCTGCAGCTCTCCATCACTGATGCTGAAGCAGTTGCAGGTCACCTGTGTAAAAACATGAAAAAAGGCCGGAAGATACACATCTCTGTGTCTCAGTGAGGACATAATATTCTCCTCTCGTCATTAGTTCTCTATTGTTAATCTGACTATTTATGTCTTTTTCCTCCCATTGAGAAAAAAAAATTATGCAGCTTGCCAAAAAAACATTCATGCAAATCTAAATGACCTCCTCATTTGGTGATACCAGACTTGAATAAGTTGACAGATGTTCACAATCAGTCCCCACATGGAAGAGCACGAGTGTGTGTTTTTGTTTGGTCTGATTGCCGCAGGGACGATACGCTGCAGAACTCAAGCTGGACAAAGTCCATCTCCCGGAGAGATGAGGCAAACATGTCTGTAACGAGTCACAACAAACCAAAAAGAGAGTGGAGAGGACGGCACCAGGCGATTCTGACGGGTTTTTAGATTGGGCTCTGCGGGATAGATGAGTGATGTGTGGAAGGAGAAAAGCAAACAGAACACAGTCATAAATAGACAGCATGAGCGTTGTTGACATGGGGAACACAGCAGTGTGTGATTTCAGGCACTGAGAGAAATATTACAACACAATCAATTATAAACACTGAGAAAACGCAACCAAAAATGAACCAAATCGATTGTGCTGTGGGGTCGAAAAAGCCACTGGATGTTTAAATAAATAATAGTTTAATATGTCTACACTCTTAAAGGGAAAGTTCACTCACATAAAAAAAAAAAAAAAAACCTGTCATCGTTTATTCAGCCTCATGTTGTTCCTACCTAACTTTCTTCTATGGAACACAAGACACAAGTTGAACTGTCTATGCTGTTTGTTTCCATAAAATGAAAGTGAATGCGAACTAGGGATGTGTAAAACTATATATTTTCTAAATCAACCAGTCGCTGGGTTACCTGAACTGATTTAGTAAACTAATTAGTCTTAAGGAAGCCCTGTCTAATTAGGCAGGTTTTTGACCCCACATGACCCTAATTGGATGTGTTTCTTTAAAAAAAAAAAAAAAAACACGTTCTTTAAAAACAGAAATTTGAGTTATTTGCTGAAAGTCTTCACCTATTCTGTCATAAAATGATTTGCATTTGTATACACTACAATATGCTACTTCAAAATGTGCTGTCAGTTTTGACATCAAAGATTTGAGATGAGAGTTGTTATTGTCGACTAAAGCTTAAACTAAAACTATTATAAATCTGTTTTGTTAATTGAAATTAAGCAGAAAAATCAAATAGATGAAAAACTTGATCTTACATTTTTTTTGAAATGCTGTATTAGCAACTAATTAAAATAAAAGTACTAAAATTACTAACACTACAACTGAAATAAAAATAAAGCTACATAGAAATAACAAAACAACTAAAGAAATCAAATTAAAATAAATAGAATGTTGCCTAAGCTACTAACTAAAATACAAGTATTAAAATCACTAAAACTAAAAGAAAAGAAGCTAAATAGAAATATAAAATATAAACATTTTAATATGAAAATATAAAAAAAGTGAGAGCTACAGGGAAGATTTTCAGACTGAAATGATTTTTCATTTTTTTGGTGAACTACGTCACTTCACAAGACATTCATTGATGGACTGGAGTGGTGTGGATTATTGTGATGTTTTTATCAGCTGTTTGGACTACAACGTATTTCTATTTTATGTAATAATTTTTTTAATATTCTTAATTTTATGTAATAATTAATAATTGTATAATGATTTTGTTTGATCACTAACCTGAAGTATGAACAATATCAACAGTGACACTTTTCTTAACACTAGCACTAATAATGTCCACAACAAATCTATGTTCAGTGCAAAGCATGCTGGGATGTCGATCATGTCACTCACCTGAGGTAAAGTCCCACCCCCACGTCCTGCAGCTCTCCATCACTGATGCTGAAGCAGTTGCAGGTCACCTGTGTAAAAACATGAAAAAAGGCCGGAAGATACACATCTCTGTGTCTCAGTGAGGACATAATATTCTCCTCTCGTCATTAGTTCTCTATTGTTAATCTGACTATTTATGTCTTTTTCCTCCCATTGAGAAAAAAAAATTATGCAGCTTGCCAAAAAAACATTCATGCAAATCTAAATGACCTCCTCATTTGGTGATACCAGACTTGAATAAGTTGACAGATGTTCACAATCAGTCCCCACATGGAAGAGCACGAGTGTGTGTTTTTGTTTGGTCTGATTGCCGCAGGGACGATACGCTGCAGAACTCAAGCTGGACAAAGTCCATCTCCCGGAGAGATGAGGCAAACATGTCTGTAACGAGTCACAACAAACCAAAAAGAGAGTGGAGAGGACGGCACCAGGCGATTCTGACGGGTTTTTAGATTGGGCTCTGCGGGATAGATGAGTGATGTGTGGAAGGAGAAAAGCAAACAGAACACAGTCATAAATAGACAGCATGAGCGTTGTTGACATGGGGAACACAGCAGTGTGTGATTTCAGGCACTGAGAGAAATATTACAACACAATCAATTATAAACACTGAGAAAACGCAACCAAAAATGAACCAAATCGATTGTGCTGTGGGGTCGAAAAAGCCACTGGATGTTTAAATAAATAATAGTTTAATATGTCTACACTCTTAAAGGGAAAGTTCACTCACATAAAAAAAAAAAAAAAAAACTGTCATCGTTTATTCAGCCTCATGTTGTTCCTACCTAACTTTCTTCTATGGAACACAAGAGATGTTTTGAACTGTCTATGCTGTTTGTTTCCATAAAATGAAAGTGAATGCGAACTAGGGATGTGTAAAACTATATATTTTCTAAATCAACCAGTCGCTGGGTTACCTGAACTGATTTAGTAAACTAATTAGTCTTAAGGAAGCCCTGTCTAATTAGGCAGGTTTTTGACCCCACATGACCCTAATTGGATGTGTTTCTTTAAAAAAAAAAAAAAAAACACGTTCTTTAAAAACAGAAATTTGAGTTATTTGCTGAAAGTCTTCACCTATTCTGTCATAAAATGATTTGCATTTGTATACACTACAATATGCTACTTCAAAATGTGCTGTCAGTTTTGACATCAAAGATTTGAGATGAGAGTTGTTATTGTCGACTAAAGCTTAAACTAAAACTATTATAAATCTGTTTTGTTAATTGAAATTAAGCAGAAAAATCAAATAGATGAAAAACTTGATCTTACATTTTTTTTGAAATGCTGTATTAGCAACTAATTAAAATAAAAGTACTAAAATTACTAACACTACAACTGAAATAAAAATAAAGCTACATAGAAATAACAAAACAACTAAAGAAATCAAATTAAAATAAATAGAATGTTGCCTAAGCTACTAACTAAAATACAAGTATTAAAATCACTAAAACTAAAAGAAAAGAAGCTAAATAGAAATATAAAATATAAACATTTTAATATGAAAATATAAAAAAAGTGAGAGCTACAGGGAAGATTTTCAGACTGAAATGATTTTTCATTTTTTTGGTGAACTACGTCACTTCACAAGACATTCATTGATGGACTGGAGTGGTGTGGATTATTGTGATGTTTTTATCAGCTGTTTGGACTCTCATTCTGACGGCACCCATTCACTGCAGAGGATCCATTTGTGAGCAAGTGATGGAAGTGATGGAGTGATGGAAACTTCTCCAAATTTGTTCAGATGAGGAAACAAACTCATCTACATCTTGGATGGCCTGAGGGTGAGCAAATTTTCATTTTTGGAGAAATTTTCCTTTGAGAGGAACAATCTATTGAAACCGTTGAGACGGCATTATAATATTCATAACCACAGGCATAATGACCCAGGATTTGACCCAATCGAGCGCAAACATCACCTCATTGCCAGCGAAGAACTCTGACTAATGCAAATCGATTTAAATACACAGTACTACACACACAAGAAGAAAGAAATGAAATGGTTGACAGGCAAAAACACCCACAGAGGAGTCTTCATTGATGTTGCCCTTATATTTATCGTTCGAAAACATATTTCTGGCACATGCCCAACTAATTAATAGCTAATATATGTAAGGAGCTGCTGGGAAGACTGGCGGCTCTTCATGTGGCGCCACTGCAGAGTCTTTCATGTGGGGAGCGTGAGATGGGTTTTAAAAGGTGTGACTGAACGTCTGCTTGGCCGCGGACTCGCTGACGACAGGTTGAAGTGTGTGTTTGTGTGCATAAAGTATGTCTGATGTCCCGAGGCGTCTCGCTCCGCATATCTGCACTACATAAACGTGAAATGGATCCACAGTTAAAGCATATATGGTAATCATTCAGCACCATTGTATATATTAAAATATCACGATAGAATCATCAGATACTGTCATTATAGCTTGCCAACGCCAGTCTGATCAATATCATAATACTATTCAGATATGCAATACAGGAAAAAAAAGCATGAAAGATAGCCTTCATTTGAAAACCAAAGACAAAAACAGAGTCATGGTTCAGATGGTTCTATTTTAGTTACATGCCACTTCATTTTTCACATGTTGTTTTCCAAATTCTGGAAATAAAATCATGCAACGCAGGACAAATAGCCTCTTGTAATTTCAATAGGAGCCAAAAAACAAACATGGACTTGGACATGGACGATGTGAGATAGATAAGTCAAAGTGACACCATCCAGATCTGAATGCAAAAAAAAAAAAAGTGTTAACATCTGCCCAAGTAAATGCAAGACCTCTGTCATACATAAAGACACACTGACACTGTATTCATTTACATTTGCTTTGGCAAGTAGTGAAGTTCTCAGATGAGCAATTTGGTCAGAGAGACATGCTGCAGGGACAAAGAAAGACGGGTCAAAAGACCCACATTAAAGATTTGAATTAATCAGAATACACATATGCTAAGATGGGGGGGGGGGGGGGAGAGAGAGAGAGAGAGAGAGAGAGAGAGAGAGAGGATAATAATTCTGTGGAAGTATTCAATGAAGAAAACATTTCCAGGTCACATTTCAGCCCAAATCAAAAGAGAAAAAAATGAGACATTATATTTAGCATCAAAACAACTCCTATTTTAAGGACCATAGGACTGTGATGTTGTGATATGATTTTAATGAAAATAAATTTCACCCATGACATGCTTGGATGTTTTATTCATAGATTTTGTTTTTATAAATGAAATATATTTGTAATTCCAATTATTCTTCAATTATTCTTCAAGTCAGCGGCACAACTGGTCTTCAACAAGCCCAAAAGAGCCAATGTTACACCTCTCTTTATCTCCTTGCACTGGTTACCGGTTGCGGCTCGAATCAAGTTCAAGACATTGATGCTTGCATATAGAACAGCCACAGGCTCAGCACCCGCCTACTTCCACTCACTATTACGAATCTACATCCCCTCCAGAAGTCTGAGATCCGCTAGTGAGCATCACAGCATGGTACCATCACAGAGAGGCTCAAAATCACTTTCCAGAACATTCTCGTTCACCATTCCTGGCTGGTGGAATGATCTTTCCACCCCTATCCGGAATGCTGAATCTCTGATCATTTTCAAGCGACAGCTGAAAACTCATCTACGCTACTTGACTTCATCTTAAATTAAAAAAATCTTTCTCTTTATTTATTCCTTCCCTTTCTAGCTTGTACTTATTTGAACAATGCCTGAAACTTGGTATGACAAGTACTTCCTGTGCCTCTTTAAGAAGAATCGCTTTATGCATTCCCCAATTGTAAGTCGCTTTGGATATAAGCGTCTGCAAAATGACTAAATGTAAATGTAAATGTAGTTCACATTAAATTTCAAATATAAATAATAATGCAAATACTATAATACAATGCTTTTAAAAAAATTTAATAAAATTAATATTATACATTTTTATTATAAATTATATTTACTCTGTTATTTACATTTTTAATTTTACATTTTTTTTATATTTGTATATTTAATTATTTGCATATTTTTTAAATTAACTTTTTGAAAATGTAATAATGTCAAAATACGCATGGTTTTCTTTATGCAAATTCAAATAAATAAATAAATATGCCACAGGGGACAATAATTTTGTGTATGACAGACTTCCAGGTTGGAAAGTTTGTCAAGCTTTTTCTGAAATCAGTCCATGTTTGGACTTCCATAGACCATGAAATGGGAAAATTAACCAAATATGTCCATTTTCATCGATTTATTTAATTTCTTATTCATCTTTTCTGATAGCGCCATCTACCAGATGAAACTCAAGTGGAGGACTGATTTACATTTACCATGCAAATTCCCAATATTGAGGTCTCACCGCTCCACGAATGTTCTCATTTCAGATAAGGGCAAATGTTACTGTGGTTCAACTGTGGTTACTACAATAACAACCCATCTTAATACACAGCATCTTCATGAGATTATATATATATATATATATACAGTGGGTACGGAAAGTATTCAGACCCCCTTAAATTTTTCACGCTGAACGTGTAAAGTCAGAGCAGCCATCTGTGTTAGAAGCTCACATCTGATACCTGAAGGAGATACTCTACAGAGCTCAGTTTCTCAAAAGTACCGTGCTGCACTGACATCACACCCTCTGTACTACAGACCTGTTATCCAATGGTGTGAACTCCTCCACATTTCCTGCCAGTATGAGCCATCTGCACATGCAACACATCACACTCGGAGTAAATTAAGTTGTTTTTAAACTTATACTGGAGAAGATCACTGACAGGGTTTTGAGGGCACGATGTAACAGCACTGATACAGATGGAGCAAATTTCCACAAAAATGCAGTTGCCTATTTAGACTGATATCATATCATCTTCTCTCCAACGTACAGGAGGGATAACTGAATTAATTAACTGGAAAGATTAAATATGTTAATTTTATACAAATCTTTGTCTATTCCATGCTTCTATAACATATCTAGTTCAGGTTCATTCAGTTGAGTTTGTGTGCATTTGCTTTTACAATGGCAAACTTGAACAAAAACAATGTGACTGGTATGG